CGGAGTTCGAAAATTCTAGAGTGCATAGAACCTCGATTATGATTACATAGAACCTTGAACTGTAGTCGGAAACAGTTTACAATCTAAACGCAAGCAAAATAAGAGAAATTACAGAATGAACTACAAACCTCAAGACAACTATTGAACAGGCAGGCTCATCGGCAGGTGAGCATCTATGTTCGGATGATGAACTGTTCCTTCCTGAAAAAGTGTGTTACGTGAAAAATGTAAAGACGAACTTCATAATATAGATAAATTAATATAAAAAACGATGAAAAAATAAACAAGGAATTTCCACATTTCTTGCATTTAATTAATTGCGAAGCGAAATAAAATGAAGCGATTCACGGTAAAGATGAAAGCTGCAACGACCTGATGTATATCTGATTAAAACGAATAAGAATATTGGTAACAAGAGAACAGGGACATATATCTTAAGTTCTCGTTCCATCTAATAGCCTGAAGCTAAGCAATTATCAATTTAGATTGACATTGGGAAACATAATTTGGGAACAGCGTGCAGTTTATCTGTCCAAAGAAGAGAATCACCTTGATACGAATCAGTAATAAAGCATAATATGCATCATTCTCAAAGCCAGAACAGATTCAAAATCGCGAGAATGCAGCAGAAACAAAAAGGATTTTGAAGTATCAACACTCCAAATATCTGCAGCATGTTTGAAGCAAACAGTTAAAAAGAAATCCTATGTGCCCAAGGTATATGTATTTCAAGAGACAAACAAGTAATAAGATCGAGATGAGAAAATAACAAAAAAAATTATCACAGCTTTCATTTAATTTTTGAAACTATATTGATATTGAAAATCATAACCTCTTGAACTGAAGCAAATTCTACAATCAGGAGAGCGAAACAGAAATAATCAGTAAATAACGGAAATTGAAATATACTCTTCATCACATATCTGTAGCTTTCAAGCCCGAGATTTCCCGGCAAAACACAGACATTATGACTTATTGAAACCTTGGGTATAACAAAAAGCAACATACTGAGAACTATCCTTGTTAAACTACAAATAGGAACACATTGATAAGAAACTGTAATACACAAAATAAATATGGAAAACGTTCCATGTGATTTCAGTAACTCATATAAAGGGTTCAACGTATCTAGTTCACGAGGTATATCAATCTATAATATAGTTTTCGTCTTTAAGAGTATACTCCGGAAAAATTGAACCAACAGTGTTCCGATATTCAAGAGTTTCTTCGTGATTACCAGTGATATCAATTCTGAACTCATTCTCACCAGGCAGACGATATAAATTTTTGTATAATTTCGCTATGAATTCGAAAAAAGAGTGTCCAGAAGTTATTGCTAGTTCTGCATGGTTGGAAGACATCAAGGAAATGTCCCAATAGTTAGAATCTCGTGCATCTAGCATTACAAGAGTATTGATAACCCTTTTAAGCAACTGTTAATAACGAATAGCAGGGGGGGGGAGGGGGTGGTTGGATAATTAAAAAGATTTCTTCAGTGAAGTATTTAAAGTTATTTCTTGTAACCTAATACGTTTGTGATGCGAATCAGTCATCATCTTACTTTCATATTACAATTCGAATGAAAATAGAGAGATATTCTATGAAACTAAAATATGATTGAGCAGTGAACTATAAACGTAATTCATCGAAAACTTCATCTCGCTCTTCGAAAGAAGAGGTTTTTGCCTGAAAGCCTTTTTTGTATCATTTCGTGAACTCCGATTGGGTATTGCAATGTACAGAAAATGTGACTTGCAACTTATTCAATTTTCTGCAGGCTCCTCGCATCGTTTCATTTTCCATTTCGGCAGATGTCTCGGCTTTTTCTCTCTTTTCATCCATCGCTTTTCAAATAGGAATAAATCCAAATCAGATTTCAGACGAGCGACCACCGCATTTTTGCTGATTCTTTGACATTCTTCCTCCAAATTTCAACAGTTTCATTTCTTTTTTTTAACTCTAGCAAACAATCCTGAATTTTTTGTTCATTCTAGTGGAGTCGTGGAAGCAGGAGAGTGGCATTCCAATTCCATTTTTTTTGATTTTCATTCTTAGAACTGGAAAGTTAGGAACATCTGATTGGCGATTGGATTCTTGAAAATTATTTGAGTTCTCTGGATTAAAGTGATTCGAACCATTTGTTCATCATGCTTAACTTTGTCATTTCTCTTTTTTTCACTCTTCTCCACTCTCTTCCTCTACGTTTATTTCTCTCTCAATGTTCCATAAGACTTAAAAATTGGGTTGTGCTTTCTATGCGTAGTTCATTCAACACAATCCATCATTCAACTCACTTATTCATCCTCTCTCCCTCTCTCTATCTTTCTCTCCCTCTCGTTTTCTTTATCTTTCTCTCTTCTTCCCTCTCTCGTTTCATCCTTCTCCCAAACTCTCGTTATTTTTCTTGTGTTTTAACTCTCCGTCTACGTCATTTGAGTCCTTATGGTCTCTTTATATTTCAAACAATTTTTATCTGATCTTCATTAAAAGTTTGTTGTCTGCTACTCTTCAGCTTTATTCTGTAAAATTAGAAATTGTTATGATCTTTTATCATATTTTCCTTGTCTTATAGCCTTTTTTTGACTGCAGTTTGAAGAATTTAGAAAGAGCAAGAGACGCAGAGAATGTAAAAAAGAGAAGAAAAATTGAAAATAGTGTGAGTGAGCGGTGCATGAAGATAAAACTGGTACTCAACCCAATGCGAAACTCTCTATTCGAATTAGGAAGACTTCAAAATATACATTTCTCACCCACTAATCAAAATAATTGACTGGGCAATGTTGCTGTTTCCGTTTTCAATGAGAATATTTTTTTTAGTTCATAATTAACATTGTCTTCTGGAGTGAAAGTTACATATAAGGCTTGAAAATGAGATTTTCTCCCGTGGGGCGATGTGTAAAAGGAAGAAAGCGGGAGAGAGAGAGAGAGATAGAGAGAAAAGAGGGAAAGATAAAAGAAAATGTTAGAGAAGCAATCGATAACTAGAAGTAAAGAAAATTTTGATTTAAAAGGAGAGTTTTCATTGACATAAATCTATATCAGATTTGAGTTCTAACTTCTATCATTTATCGTTTTATTGAGCTTCTTCGGCCATTTCGGCTTTCAAGAGGTGAGAAAGCAAGTAAGGGATTCAAAAGAGGAGATTTCGAGAAAGAAGAATTGATGAATTTTTCATGAATCCCATGTAAGATTTTGTTTCTGTTTTAGTTATTTTTTGTTTGCACGACAATGTGTAAAAACGAATGAAATATTATTTGGAACCTTATAGGGAAACTGTTTGGAGAGGGAATAAAAAAAAATTGACGTTTTGACGTGTTGCTCATTTGACATGAAAGAAGAAGTGTAAGTGGAATGAATCGAGTGTAATTCAGTTGCTTGGAAGCTGTCTTTGCTTCTTCATTTTCTTCTTTTTCTTCCCTTTATCTCATCGATTTCAACACGTATCTTATTGAGTGGATATGTCTATACAAAATATTTTTTTCTTTCTCTTCCGTTTCATTTTATTTTTATTATTTGTTTGTAACTCACACATCTATAGATATATATTGACATATATGTATATAGATATAAGCATGTTCTTGCAAATGTGAGGATTATAGTTCAGTTGGCAAAAAGAAGGAAGAAACACATGGAGAAGCTCAAAAGCATTTCAAGTCTTAGAGTTTCTTCTTCTTCTTCTTCTTTCTCCCTCTTCTTCTGCGTCTTATTTTCTTTTCAGTTTCCGCTTTTACTTATGATTGTTTTTACTCTAAAGAAACTGATTTTAACTAAAAAAAAGGCGAATTGAGTTTTCCATATGTAGTTAATAAGATTTCTATTTGTTTTTAGTCCAACTTTAACCTTTTCTGCTTCAGTTGTTTCTTTTCGTAAAGCTGTCTGGCAATTCTGTTAGTCTTTCACAATCTTTTGTAACGTTTTTTTGCCTTTCTCTTCGTCTTCTTACTTATTTCTGGCTTCAAACGTTTAAACTTCAGATCGAGTAATTGAATTTTTTTTTCATTCAGCTCAAGATATCTGTTATAAATAATCATCTGTTTACCCAAGTGTTCATTTGATTGATAACTTTCTTATTCTTATTTATAATTTCATTAAATCATTAAAAACATATAATTCGAATGCCTGGCAAGCCTTTCATTGTTGAAATAATTTGAGAAATTTTGAGAAAAATTAAGTAATTGTTGAGATGAGAGTGGAAGAGTCTTCTGAAGACTCTCGAAGAAATGATTTTCTAAGCGAATTCAATAAGCTCTATGGCGGGTGTGAGAAAAAAAAAGAATTTCAAGAGGACAGACACTTTTTCGCTGAATTATTTCGTTTAATCACTTATTATAACAACAACAAGAAGAACAAGAAAGAGATGAGAGCGAGAAGAAGAGAAAGGAAATTTTTTTTAACTCTGATTGAGTTTGAAATACGTCGAGAAATATGATAGATGAGCTTTGAATGAAAGAATGAACGGATATTCGAATTGAGATAAGACAAACCTGAGATAACACTGAGTTCAATAATTTCTTCTCAGATTCTCGCTTGCTGAACAGAAAAGTTTGAAAAATCGTTTTTTTTGTAACTCAAAAGAATGAACATAAGAGTAAATGAGTTAGAGAAGAAGCTCAGAATGTTAGAGTTGAAGTTTTGCAAAGTAAAGCTTCTAGTTATTGTTAGCAGATTAATCATTTCAGAATAAATGATTATTGTAGATTAGGATGAAGGTCATAACTCTTCTTCTGAAACTTCGCTTACTAATCTCCAACTCTTGAGTTCCCTCCACTTTCAAAGATAATCCTCGTTTTCCTTCTTTTTACTCGTTCCAATTGCGTCTTTGAACAATTTGAAACAAAAAATCCATTTCAGATCATATGTCTTTCAATTGCTGAATTCATATCGGCTTTCAGCTATCCTATAAAAGGATAATTAAGGTATTCAATACGTTTTTAACAATAAATTTTTATTATTCAATTATAAATAACTAAAGCTTTTCATAATCTAATTCCTATAGGTCAATGGGTGTATATTGGAGACGTTTGTACAAAGACGCGACGAGACGTACATACATGGGACAGCGAGCAGCCAAGCATAATGTGCAGGTTTGAAGTCGTTTTCTTTTCTTCAAGTTAGTGAGAGCTACTATGCTTTCCAAAAACAACATGTCATTGCATTGTTAGTTTCCACCATACTAACTCATGATTTTTCCTACTCTGTTTTTTTCTGAATACTCTTTATTTAATCTTTAAAAGAATATTAAGGCGGGAGTTCGTCTCTATCACCAAAGACATCATGCTCATGCTATCCAGAAATGGCGTAGTGCCTTGAATAGATTGACGTTGGTTTCACCATATGACAAATCTGTTATATTTCTGATATTGAAGAGATGCTGAGGATCGATTTATAACCTTAGGCTATCTAGCTCAAGCCTACTGTGATGGCGGAGATTATGAAGCAATGCTTCACTATGCTCAATTACAAATGGAATTAGCCAATAATCGTAAAGATGAATATATGAAAAGTGAAGCTTTCCTGAACTTGGCAAAAGCCTACGAGCGACTAGCTGATTTCAGCAAAGTTTGTTTGATTCATTCATATATCTCTATAGTGCATTCCGAATTTCAGGCCTTGTCCTATGGTAAAGCCAGTCTTCAGCATCCGAGTATGGACCCGCGAACACCTGGTTATGCTCATTTAGGTATTAACGAGTTCAAAAATTACTTAATCTATGATTGTTATTCAAGCAATTGCTATGGCTCATCTAGGTTTATCACAGTTCCAAAATGCCTTAGAAAGTTTTGAAAGCTCTATGAATGTAGCGAATGAAACCAGCGATAAACTATTAGAACTACAAATTTGCGTTGGTCTTGGATCTCTGTTCACTTTATTGAGGTGAAATGAAGAAGAGGCAAATGATAGTTTAACAAGATTAATTTCAGGGATTTGACGAAAGCCTTAATATTCTTGAGAAATGCACTGAATATAGTTCAATCGGTAACAGTTGATGATGTTCATGCCAAGTATAGATGTGTCATACTATATCATTTATCAGTAGCACTGCGTATCAAAGGCAACCTCGGAGAAGCTCGGGAAGCATGTGAAGTAACTTTTGACACTTGAACATAAGTCAAAACAATTTATTATTTGAGGAAGCATCACATCTTGCCTCAGAATCTGGAAACCGAGCACTACAAGCCAGATGCATGTGCAGTCTGGCTGACATCAACCGAGAGCTTGGAGAGTCAGAAGCTCGAGAAACTATTACAAAATCTTGGGCACGTTATGAGGATGCTTTTCGTATAATGAGACAGTCAAACGATCGAATGGGTGAAGTCAGTCTTTCGCTTTGTGTTCTTGAATACATAAATCAATTTTTTGAAGGTTTTGGTATTGGCTAGTATGGCGAAAAGTGCTTCTGAGAGCCGAAGCCATTACACGGGACAATGTGAATGTCAGGCTATTCAATTGAATAAAAAATGTTTAGAAATCGCTAAGATACTCGGCTGCAAAGTGTGTTGTCACAGTTTTATTATTCCAATTATATATATTACAGCATGTAATGTTGAAGTGTCATAGTCGTTTGGCCGAGCTTTATGCTCAATTAAATGATGAAGATAGTGAAGAGATTGCTCGGAAAGCTGCGAGTCAGCTTACACAAGAAATGGAATTATTTTGTAATTTCTGTGGACAAAGGTTAGTTAAAGAGGGACCGCGAACATAGGATACTCTATTTCATCATTTGATATATTGAGATATAGTTATTTTGATATTTTTAGATATGGAATTAAAGACGATTCACTTCAAGCCCTACGGTGCTCTCATATTTTTCATGAACGATGTTTACATACTTACTTATTGGAAAGAGAAGATCAAACTTGTCCGAAATGCCGATGTCGGGCAGTTTTATCAGATAATATCTCTATGAGAACTCCAAGCATTTGCTCAACACTTGATTTGAACTCACCGTCTAGTACGTTCTAATGAAATATGGCTTCCACCGTTGTTGCATTCTAGCTTCTTTCCCATTACAACCTGGGCCATATGGTGGTGTACGAACTCCATTAGCTGAGGTTGCAGAACAGATTGCTTCCGATGCCACATTAACAAGGAATCATAACTCAACATTCAGGTTGTTTACCCAAAGTATATCGCTTAATTATTTCGGTTCCAGACCAAATGATAATGATAGGACGTTAGAGAGGAAAAAGAAAGAACCATCTAAACCACCCCCTCCCCCCAGGAAACCATGTTGTAGCCAGGTAGTAATAGTTTGGTAGTTCACAGTATATGATTATGGGTATAGGACAGCTTACCTGCTTCATCAATTGTTGGAATGCCATGCCCTATGGCTTTACAAGAAAACGGTCCTTTAGTATTCTCAAGAGCTCCAACAATCACAGACGTTTAAAGATTCCACTAAACAAGCAAAAGACAAAAAATAGAAGAAAGTCTTTCCAACGACATTCAAAATGTGATAAAAAGTATTTTAGAGGGAATTCACTTCAATTTCTTTCGAAACGGTTTTTTTCTCTTGGAAAAGACAGAGAAAAAGAGAGAGTTAGAGTTAGTTAGATGAAGAGAGAGAGAGAGAAAAAGAGAGAGAGAGGGAGGAAAAGAGAAAGAGAAAGAGAGAGAGAGAGAAAAGAAAAAAGTTATCATTGTTTTTTATTGATCTCAAAATAGGAAATGAAATCCAGTGAATATCATTTTTATTTAAGTTATACTTCTTTATAAAATATTTTTTTTTCAATTGTGTTTCGTTTTCACTTATTCCAAGCTATGTATGGACTAGTTTAAACTCATCCCATGTTGGTTGTCCTATTTGAATAGCAATATTGAAAGAGGTGATCATCAAGTTCATTCATCTCACTGATACCCACAAGTATGTACATATGTCTTAGTGCTGGCGGATGGAAAACTCAGTATTTTCACAAGTATCACTGTTGTTTTCATTGTTGGATTAGTCTGTGTAAAAGTTTCGGATTCTCTGGCGGAGTATACACTTTTCAAAGAAAGACATTTATTTGATAGAATTTCATAATATTATAATCATTTCTATTGAAGAGCATGAAAACTTAGATTCTGTATCCTGGAGCAGTTCTGGGAGGTGGGCAATGATCACATCCTCCGTTGCCTCCTGGAGTACCATCGTTTCCTGGAAGACCATTCTCTCCAGCTGATCCTGGCTCACCATCTGAACCAGCATCTCCAGCAGGTCCTTGTTCTCCATCTAATCCAGGTTGTCCATCAGATCCAGGTGATCCTGGGGCTCCTGGTTGACCTGGGGGTCCTGGTGGTCCACTGTGTCCTGGAGGTCCTGGACGATCTACAACAGTACCATCTTGACCTCTCTGTCCAGATTGTCCGGGATGTCCATCTTCTCCTCGTGGTCCGATTGGTCCCTTTGATCCTGGAAGTCCTCTCACTCCTGGCTGTCCTGGTTGACCGTCTGATCCTGGGTTTCCATTTCTTCCCTTTGGTCCTGGTTGTCCTGGTGGACCAGCTGGAGCATCTGGGCAAGTGAAGCATGGTTCTGCTTGTTCGCGAGAATCATCGTTAGAATCAGCTCCGGATCTTCCAGGATTTCCTGGCTTTCCGTCTCTTCCAGGGTGTCCGTCTGTTCCAGGAGGACCAGCAGCTCCTGGGGCACCACTTCCACATGAGCAGCATTGAGCTTGACGAGATCGACGGGCCTTCTTAGCTACTCTGTGGCTAACACCAACTGCAAAAATTAAACAAGACGAAGTGAGGAATAGTTTTGATAGGACATACAGTGTTTGCTGGAAACTGAGCGCTTGTCCAAAATCTTGACTTGTTCTCCCTTAGCTTCGGCTACGATTTCGTATTGTTTGTGAAGTCCATTTGAACGATGAACACAGAAGTCAACCTTCAATACATAAGTTAATAAATATGAGAGAAAAGATTGAAACTTCAGTCTCTAGTTGAGATTGAACATGCTGCATGTAGTTATAGAGAGATGGAACAGCGACGATGGCTACTAATGTTGCGACAATACTTGAAAGAAAAAATTAAACTGGTCAAAAAATATTCTAAAGTAATACCTAACAGTAACTCCAACGACGGCTGTCCGTCTAAGGTTTTCGGCCTCTCGAACCAATTGTTGTTCTTTGGAAGACATAGCTGATGCTGCTTGTGCTTGAACGTCTACAAATATAGCTTTATATAGAAGTCTATTGAGTGTAACGGTTCCAGCCGTTTATTTTAGTTAGCTGATAGCCTAAAAAAGGTTACGTCAGTTTTCTATACCAACACGATTGAGTTTAAAAAAAAGCTTGCAAGTTCTTATACGTTGTGTTATGTCTGCCATGGTTTGAGTGAGGCCAGTAGATGCTTCTTCAGAGATGCGTAAACTATTTAAAACAGTTTCTTGTCTTTATTCTTCTCACATTTTTGTCCTGTTCAAATGCTGCTTTCTCCTTTCTTCTACTTCATTTGCCAAGCATCAAAAAAAAAGAAAAAAAAGCTGATTAGCTGTCTGTTCAACTTTCCTTCCGCTTTTTCATTCTCTGTGTATTCGTTTCATTATTCTTTAATGTATCGTAAGCCTCTAACCTTATAGGAACTTCTTAACTAAACAACTTCAACTGCTTCATTGATATAATAATTTTCAGAAGTTGTTCATTGCGACCTACGTGAACCCAACTGGACCCATTCGGATACTTTGCAAAAATTCAAATACCTGATTTAATAAAAAAAGTTGAAAATTGAGGTAAAAACAAAAAAATTTTTTCAACACTTCCATAGCGAAGGAGAAATTGCAAAAAAGCATTTTTGTCCGAATAAGTTGATTAAACAGGATAATTATCCTTTTGCGTTTGTCGGAAGAAGTAGCAGAGCTCATTACCGTATGCATTTTGTGAGAAATAAATAATATTAATAAAAAAACCTTTAAAAATAATGGCAATGTCATCGTCATCACAGTAATTAGAGTTGTTTACGAATTTTGATAATATTAAATTATATTTTATTATATGAACTGCTTCTATTTTTAAGTTAAATGAAGATTATTGTGAGAAATATTAACAATTTTATTATTTAACTATGCGAATGGCAAATTCTCAAAGATATTATGATTATGCATGTAGAGATCACTGTTGTGCAACTTGTTCACGGAAGACATCTGCCATATGGCTTTGAACTGTTCATCATAGACCAGTTCGTTCACTGTTCTTCATTCACTACGAACTTTCTATAAAAAAAATGTTGTTTATATTGTATTTTGATGATATGAATCTCTGAGTTAGAGAACGTTCTGACCTGTTTGAACGATCTGATTGAGTTCTGCCCCTGCTTGTGGAATTATGAATGATCTGATTATGAAGAGAGTTATAATCGGAATGAGAGCGGCCGATGACTGTAGTTCATGTAAAATATAAAATAGAAGATTCATATTTTGGCTGCGAAACCTTAAAATTTTGAAAATTATATGATTGAAATAGTCGCTCAAGCTCCAAAGAGAAGAACGAGAGAGAAGAATACATGAAGAAAACAGATAAAAGACAACAACTGTTGTTTATTTCTCTTGAAAATATGCAGAAATGATTGCAAACGTACTCTTAACAGAATTCGTTTTCATATCATGAGAAGAGCAGTCATCAGACAATATGACCTTAAAGGGTAAAATACGCTATCGCAAGTTTTGAATCAGAAAAACGTTGCTGGTTGCAGAAAGAACAAAAGCAATTCATATGAAAAGACGAGTTGACAAAAATTCCAAAGAGTTTTCTTCCAAAAATTTAATAAAAAAATTTAAAATGACGTTGTTGGTGGTAGGGATGACCATGGGAGCGAAGTTTACTCGAATATGAATGCAATCGAAGAATCAATGATGGCAGATGGTATAGACAAGAATACATTTTCACATTGGAATAGAGAATCGCAAGCAGAATAAACACAGGAAAAATAAAAGAGAGAAGAGAAAGTGAGGTGGAGAAATGAAGAAAGAAAAGCAACCGCTCGCGGAGTCGAAAATCTAAAGATTGGTTTACGTGAAGTTGACGTCAAAGCTGGAAGATAGGTAAACAGATGCATTGATAATGAAAATTAAAAAAAAAAAGTATAAGACGAGAGTGTGAAGAGAAGCGTAACAGGAAGGTGAAAAGGTTGAAAGCGAAGTTTCTCTCATGGCACATGGGGTCGACATGGAATAGTTCTGTTTCGACCTTGTCTTTCACCGCTTTTTCCATCATTACATGACAACGAGATTGACAGAGAAGTATAAAGGGAGAAAGGAGGGAGAGAGGGGGAAAGAGAAAGTGACGAGAACAACCTGCCTAAACTGAGAAGAAGTGCTTATCATGTTGTGAATAATTGAGAGAACAATTAATTTCAAGAGAGAATCAGAAAAAAGATAGTAAGTTAAGAGAAAAGAGAATTAAACAAATTGTTCGAACGATGCATGCTGGCGTTAGAATGCCAATAAACACACAAAAACCGGAATAAGCGAAAGGTTTTTGCCTCTCGTCTCCTTCTCGTTTTCATCCAATGTTCCAGCTTTTCCTTTGAGAACGAAACGCACCTCTTCAAAAGTCATTACAAAACAACGAATGAACTGATTATATTTTTCGAAGGACTGTAGAAGAACAGCTATTTTGTGGAATTAAGCAACAACGTGAAGTTCATAGACATATAAGCTCTAAAGCATCTTATTTTTCTTTCCAGAATCCTGACCATTCTGGTTTCAAGCCAAATCATCTTCTGAAGGAGGTCAATTTTCTTGAATACTTCATACATCTTACCGCCCTCCACCTTTTGTTTTTATTCTCCCTTCCCTCCCGCACGTTGTTTGTTTACTTTTCAATGATATTTGCAACTTCCAAGTTTCTGATAAAAGCATGAAACTCATGTTTTCATATGTTTGCAATAATGAATCTCACACCCCCAATAGAATATTTTAAATTTTAAAGGATAAAGGTGTTTGTTTTTGAGTGCAAAAAAGATCAAAGAAAGGTTTCACTATATTAAGAGAAAATAAATCAAATTGATCTTCTTCCATCTTCTTTATTATTAATAAAAATTAAAATATGTTCTAAAAAGGAAATTAAGGATTAAGAAGCCTTTCAATGGTCACAAACAGATCACCTTAGGTGTTCGAAAAAAACAAAAAAGAAAATTTTCTTAATTAAAAAATTTTATATATTATATTACTATTATTATATTTATATATATATATATATATATATAATAAGAATATGAATGAGAATGACTATGTTGATATGATAGCTGTGAGTGAGGTAACATCCGTTTCTTATATTATATTTGGGATGATCAAACATCGAAATAATCAAATAGGCGGATAACTCATTCAAATCCTCGTCATCAATACTACGATTCATTATAGATTATCTTATAGATGATTTTGAATATTAACAATTTGTTTAACAATAAATTGTATTTTAAACAATTGATTTTAGTATATAGTAGATTCAGTGTCATACATACACATATAGTTAGATTTTTAAATATTTTATAGTTTCTTATCGAAGTGTATTGTTGGACACACCTTGTTGCTCATTCTTGATTAATGACGAGTCTCCGGGTAGAAATGTTCCTTTATTCTTTTACCAAATAAAGATACTTTTATTACTTGTGATTGAGAACTATTGCGTGGGGTAACATTAAACATCTCACATCAATCTGTCTGTATATAGTTACTCGTTTCTTATTTTTTCAAACTGCCATCTAGCCCATATTTGGAATTCTGTAGACGAATGCAAGATTTCAGACGAATCAAAAAGATTTGAGGACAAGATATCATTCTAAGCTTCTATCAATAGATCAACAGCTCCTTATGTGTATATCGAGAAGAAATAAAAGATGATCCTCAACAACGTCAATCATTATCTTATCTTGGTCGTCTCCACAATTTTTTTAAAACATTTTCAGCTCCTCTTTCTCTCACGCATACTTATTTTGGACTTGGTCAGACAGAGATCTACCTCGTATTACATTTGCTTTATGATAAATGTACATTTGGATATATATTTTCTATTCGTTTGTTAAGTAGCAACGTGTTTTGACGTTAAATAGTTTTTTTATGGACCTCCTCCACAGAGATTAAGCTTTACAAAAGATTATTAGTAAATGAATTATGTGAAGTGTATGTACCAAACGAAATTCTTCGAAAGGTTGAAATTCTAAAGTCATAACGGATTATAGAACTCAAATAATGAGGAGGAAATTAAAACATAAAAACAAAAAAAAAGAAAGAAAGGTGGGAGAGGAAATGAAGGAACAACCGTTCTGTGTTTTCTCGATAGTCATTATGACCAAACAAAACCTTTTCACGTGTGACGTGGAAATCTCACGTTGTAAAAAACGTGTGTTAATTTCCTGTAAATGCGATAAACAATTATTGGAAAAGAATATTAATAAAAAAAATGATGAAATACAAAAATTTTTGTTTTAAATGTTTGGAAGCTATTGTGTATGAGCGTTCTTTCATCAGCTAGTCCGGGAGCAGTTTAGTTTCTTCGCTGATTCTATTCTAGACAGACACAGACTGTTCTGATAAAAATTGATTTCAAAATTGCGCTTTTTGATTGGAAAAATTAAATTTGGAAAAAGGAAATAATAATTGAAGGAATTTGTTTAATTAAACATAATCTTATGAATATTAAAAACTAGTAGTTAGGGGCTTCGGATCTCTAAATGAATTGGATTGGTGAATGATCTTTGAAATCAACAAAAACAACCCAGAAATGATTCCATCTTATATAAAATGTATGAATAATATACTTTTTGATTTATTAACTAAAACTGTCGAAAGGGTATGATCTATGTATTAGATGATGGGAATTCTTGATATGATAGCTCATGAAACTTAAAACTGAAAACCCCTTACTTAACAAGTAAATTAGTTAATGAAGAGAATGGAGGCTTCTTGCCCTTATACGACCCCAAAACTACCTTTTACGTCTGGGAAAGGCAAACCGTCCTTCTATTGAGAAGAAATATGAAGAGTGACAGTATGAGAGAGAGATAGAGAAGATGAAACAATTAAAATAAATCTGTTTTTATCGTTTCCTTTTGTAGGACTGATAAACAAATGGTTTGAGAAGAGTGCTTCTACAGATCTTTATCATCAACATCACCACAGATCAGTATGATTTTTCGATG